TTGAACTGATATAAAATAAGATTTATAAGGTACGTGTAAGGTATAAAGTATCACGGTACAATGAATCCACGTACCCAACTGCCCAGTTCAAGTAAAAGTACATTACAATATGACTTTAAAATCCTGTGTGTCCCTGCCAGATACCATACCCTTCGCTTCCTGTCCCCTAATCACTATCCAGAAATTTGGGATCATTCCCTTGCTTTTCTTCAGTTTTGTCACATTTGTAACCCTGAACAATACATTGTTTGGTTTTTTAACTTTTATATTAATAGAGCATATGGTATATATTCTTCTGTGATTTATGTTTTTCAGTTGACATTTTATTTTCCTGGCATTTATCTACACTGTTGTGTGTAGCTAAAATTCACTCATTTTCACTACTGTATTGGTATTCCATTGAATGAATATACCTTAATTTATACATTCTACTGTTGATAGACATTGGGTTGTTGGCAGTTTTTTGCTATTACAAACAGTACTGATAGGGTATTTGTTAAGACTTTGTGCTAATGCATAAGTACCCGAGTCTCTATGGCAGTGATTCTCAGTCCTCACTGAATATCAGAATCACTGAGGAGCTTTCAAAGCTATAGATGTGGGACACTGGCACAGCATGGCTTGATGAGCAGTGTGTAGGTCTGCACCTGGAATCTGAACCCACAAACCCTGAGCCACTGAAGATGAGCGCGCGAACTTAACCACTACACCACCACGCCGGCCTCTTCAATTTTTACTTTTTCTCTTATGGATAACCTGTCCCAGCACCATTTATTCCAAGTCTATCTTTTCCCCACTGATTTGCCAGGCCACATCTGTAATAAAGCAAGGATCTACATTTGTGTGGGTCTGTGTCTGGGCTCTCAGTTTTATTTAACTGGTCTATTTATTTATCTTTGCACCACTACAATGCTGCTTTAATTATAATTCTTGATGAGGAAACTCCTTCTAGCTCACTTAGGAGTGTCTTAGCTATTAGCCTTTTGCTTCTCCATGTAAATTTTAGAAACTGCTTGTCAGGTCCCACAGAAACCAAACCAAAACAGTTGTGACTTTGACTGGAATTGCACTGAATCTTTAATCTCCAAGTATTTTGGGATTTTCCTGCTTTCTGTTATTGATTTCTAGTTTAATTCCTTTGTGGTCTGAGTGCAGACAGTATATAAGTTCTATTCCTTCTTTAGGTGTGTTTTATGGTACAGAAGTTATCTATCTTGGTGAATGTTCCATATGACCTTGAGAACAATGGATATTCTGCTATTGTTGGATGAAGTGGCCTATAGATGTCCCTTATATCCAGCTGACTGATGGTGGTGTTGAGTTCAATTATGCCCTTATTGATTTTCTGCCTGCTGGATCTGTCCATTTCTGATAGAGGTGTGTTGAAGACTTCAGCTATAATAGTGGATTCATCTATTTCTTCTTGCAGCAATATCAATTTTTACCTGATTTATATCAATGTTCCGTTAGGCATAAACCCATTAAGGATTTTATGTCTCACTGGATAATTGACCTCTTTATCATTATGTAATGCCCTTCTTTATCGTTGATAACTTTCTTTACTCTGCATTTGCTCTGTCTGAAATTAATATAACTCCTGCTTTCTTTTGATTAGTGTTAGCATGGCATCTCTCCATGTACTTACTTTTACTCTATATGTCTTTATATTTAAAATGGGTTTCTTGTAGACAACATATATTTGGGTCTTGTTTTTTGATTCACTCTGACAATCTGTTTCAATTGGTGCATTTAGACCATTGACATTCAAAAGAATTTTTTATATAGTTGGATTAGTATCTACCATATTTGTTACTGTTTTCAATTTGTTGCCCTTGTTCTTTGTTCCTAGTTTTGTCTTCCATTCTTTTTGTCTTTTGTGGTTTTAACTGAGCATTTTATATGATTCCATTTTCTCCACTTTCTTAGCATATCAATTACACTTCTTTTTAAACTTTTTTAAGTGGTTGGCCTATAGTTTGAAATATACATTTAAGACTAATCCAAGTCTTCTTTCCAATAACCCTATACCATTTCATGGATAGTAAGAGTACCTTATAATAACAAAAGAATCCTAATTCCTCTCTCTCATCCCTTATATCATTGGTATTATTCATTTCACTTATATATAAGCATATATATATATGCACAAATAATTGAATATATTGTTGATATGTTATTTTGAATAAATTTTTATCTGTTAGATCACTTAAGAATAAGAAAAATAAAAGTTTTTATCTTCACTTATCCCTTCTCCGAGGCTCTTCTGTTATGTAGATCTGAATTTCTGATTATGTCATTTTCCTTCTCTCTCAAGTTCTGTTAACATTTCTTGCAAGGCAGGTCTACTGGCAATGAATTCTCTCAATTTTTATTCACCTCAGAAAGTCTATCTCTACTTCATGTTTGAAGGATAATTTTGCAGGGTGCAGAATTCTAGGTTGGTGTTTTTTCTCTCTCACACTTTAAACATTTCACTGCACTCTCTTCTGCCTCGCATGGCTTCTGAAGAGTAGTAGAATGTGATTCTTATCTTTGTTCTTCTATAGGTAAGGCATATTTTTTCCCTCCAGCTTCTTTTAGGATTTTTTTCTTAGCTTTACGTTTTTCTGTAGTTTGAAAATGATATGCCGAGGTGTAGTTTTTCTGGCATTCATCCTGCTTGTTGTTCTCTGAGCTTCCGGGATCTGTGGTTTGGTGTCAGACATTAATCTGGGGGTAATTACTAGTCATTCTTGTTTCAAATATTTTTGTTCCTTTCTTTCTTTCTTCTGCTTTTGGTATTCCCATTATGTGCATGTTACATCTTTTATAGTTGTCCCACAGTCCTTGGATACCCTGTTCTTTTTTCAGTCTTTGTTCTCTTTTCTTTTTGGTTTTGGAGGTTTCTATTGAGATATCCTCAACCTCAGCGATTCTTTCCTCAGCTGTGTCCAGTCTACTAGTCAGCCCATTAAAGGCATTCTTCACTTCTGTTAGTGTTTTTTTTATCTGTAGCACTTTCGATTCTTTTTGTAATTTCCATCTCTCTGCTTACATTGCCCATCTGTTCTTGCATGCTGTCTACTTTATCCATTACCATGTTTAGCATATCACAGTTGTTTTAAATTCCTGGTCTGGTAACTCCAACATCCCTGCCATATCTGAGTCTTCTTCTTCTGCTTACTCTGTACTTCAAACTGTTTTTTTGCCTTTTAGTATGCCTTGTAATTTTTTGATAGCTGTACATGATGTACTGGGTAAAAGGAATTGTTGTAAATAGGTCTTTAATAATGTGGTGGTAAGGTGTAGGTGGAGAGGAAACATTCTGTAGTCCTATCATTAGGTCTCAGTCTTCTGGCGAGCCTGTACCTCTGGACTGTGAACTTCACCTGTGCTTTTCAGTCTCCCCTCTCTCTTCAGGTGGGAAAGGATGACTGGAGTGGGCTGAGGTTGGGTTTTTCCCCTTTCTCCATGTGGAAGGCTAGAGCCAGCCTGAGTTGGGTATTTCCCATCTCCCAGATCAGTTAGGCTCTGGTTCAATTTCTCCTAAGGGCAGACCTTGTTAGGAACACAATATGCTGGCAAATTTCAAAATGATTCCTCTTCCCCTTCCCCTGCAAGAAGCATAAGTGGATTTTTCTCTGATATACACTGTGAGAACCTGGTAGATCTCTAGCAGTAAAATTCACAAAAGTTTTATCTTCCATGACTGGGCCTCCCTGGAAATTTTATTTCTGACTTATCCACTCTCAGCCTCCAGGAATTCATCAATTACAGTTCAGTTTTCCCCACCTCAGCACTGGTTCCTGTGAAGGTTTCAGCTTGTGGGTTTCTGCTCCCATAAATTGTGACTCTCCATATTCTCCTGTCAGTCTCTGCAATTCTGGTAGTGATTTGTCCTGTGACCTCACTTCTCTTAGAGATCTAAGAGTTGGTTTTTCAGTTTGTTCAGTTTTTTACTTGTTAGGATGGAGAGACTACTTCCAAACTTCTTATGTGCTGGACTGGAAACCAGAACTCTGCACTTTTAAATTTGGGAATAACTTTCATTTCTACTATGTTATGTGTTCTTATGTAGAAACATGAAACATTCCTCCAACTATTTAGGTCTTCTTTAATATCTTTCAATAGTTTTATAATTTTCTCCATAAAGGTCTTATATATCTTGTATCAATCAGCTTAGGTTGCCATAACAAAATACCATAGGTTGGGTGGCTTAAACAACAGAAATTTATTGTCTCAGTTTTGGAGACTGGAAGTCTGAGATCAGGTGCCAGCATGGTTGGGTTCTGGTGAGAGCTCTATTCCTGGCTTGCAGACAGCCACCTCCTTGCTGTGTCCACACATGGCAGAGAGAGAGCTCTGGTGTCTCTTCTTGGATCTACTGGATTAGGACTCCACCTTTATGACATCATTTAACCTTAATTACCTCCTTAAAGACCCTATAGTCACATGGGGGGGACAGTTAACAGCTTCCACATATGAATTTTCGGGAGGGACACAATGCATTCCATAGCACATTTTGTTAGATTTAGTCCCAAATACTAAATTTTTTTGATGCGTATTATAAATGGTTTTATTTTTCTTATTACACTTTTTTCTTTTTTTGGTGAGGAAGATCAGCCCTGAGCTAACTTGCATGCTATTCCTCCTCTTTTTGCTGAGGAAGACCAACCCTGAGCTAACATCTATTGCCAATCCTCCTCCTTTTTCTCCCCAAAGCCCCAGCAGATAGCTGTATGTCATAGTTGCACATCCGTCTAGTTGCTGTATGTGGGACACGGCCTCAGCATGGCCGGAGAAGCAACGCGTCGGTGCGCGCCCGGGATCCAAACCACGGCCGCCAGTAGCGGAGTGCGAGCACTTAACCGCTAAGCCATGGGGCCAGCCCTCTTATTACACTTTTAAATGTTCTGTGGTAAAGGAACAAGCAATTAATTTTTGTACACCGATTTTATAAGAACTTGCTTTTATATAAAAGACAGCATATAACAGATCTAAGAATATTATCAAATTTCAACTTTTTGAAAATTTCTTTATTTCAGAATCATAACTACACAGAGTCACATAATCCTCAAAATCCAAGTTTACAACTGATCATCACAAGATCCCTTATCCATATACACATTAGTTAGAAGGAAAAAATTCTGTACAATATTTTAGTAGTTACATGATTTGTAAACAATACTGAATTAGTGAAAGCTGAAGAACTCTCAATGCATTACACATAGGATAACCATTCTCAAATACAAGAAGCTAAGGAATCAAGGAAAATTTCCTCTTCAGTCATAGAAAAAGGCTAAAGGCATTTTATGATGAGATAAATGCTTTATGTTAGTACTCAACCTATTAGGCAAATAAAACTGCTACACAGGTTAGTACTTTTGCTCTTGAATACTTACAATATGGTATTACCCATTTACCTGACATTTAATAATACATGAAATTTCAAGTCTGGGTTTTCACAACAGGTGCTTGATATTTTTGAATAATGTACTCAGAGCGCTTTCTTCATTTAACTTTTCTCATTTCATAAGGTTTAGTGGGACTGTGCGATGCTGGAGCAATAATCCAGAATGTCCTGAATAGTGAATTCCATTGTAACACCAGACCCAGGGTAACAGCGAGCTATCAAACCTTCAAAGTGCTTGTACTGGCGGATAAACTCATCCTGCATGGAGTGCCACACCACCTGTTATAAAAACGAAAATAAACCACGAATGGAAACAATACATAATCAAGTACATAGAAATAATGTCAAGACATATTCTAAGAATTTAGCACAATGTCATAGTTAAGAACATACATTCTGGAATCAGACTCCTAGCTCCTTCTACTCACAAGACTTGTGACCTCGAGTATGTTACATCACTGCTCTGTGCCTCAAGTTCCTTATCTGTAAACTGGGGTAATAATAATAATTCCTTCTTATAAGTTTCTTGTGAGGATTAAATGCGTGAATGTATGTTAACTGCCTAGAACAGTGTTTGACACACTAAGCACTCATTCTATTTTAGCTCTTATTAAATCTACTCCAATATCCAACACATATATGGATATGCACAATTATGTATGGAACAAAGACTAATGATTAAATGAAATGCAACAATTAATGCTTAAATTTCATTTCAGATGAAAGTCTAAAAATATCTTTACCTAAAATTGATGATGCAAAAAATTGCTTGATGCCATGGAGGACACTAAGATGAGTCAGACCAATTATCAGCAATCCAAGGAATTTATAATCTAGCAGTGGAAACTAATACATAGACGAATATCAAGACTCAAGACAGAATCTGATACACATTTGATATATGAGCTAATATCAATAGGTTACATTTATTGACGCTCGCTCTATATCAGCACAGTATGAAGTGCCTAATGTACATATTATCCTATTTAAGTCTCATGACAACCTGGTGAGGGTGGATACTGTGATCACCATCCCTATCTGACAGCTGAGGGAATGTATTCGTCCAGGATTTTCCCTTGTAAATCCTAAATCTCATAAATCCTAAATTCCTGTCAATCTAAAACTATTTACTAAGCAGCATTATACTTTTTACTTTTCATCTTTTAGCTTATGGTATTTCTTCCACCTGGAAGCCACTCCTGCCACTTTATCTGTTATATTACTATCTGACTTAGGCTAACACAAATGCAATATCCCTCATGTAGGCTTCTATGATGTTGAAGTCAGACTAACTCTCACTCATCTCTGGGCCTTTCGGTATGGTTTATTAAAGAATAATGGCTCAATATGGGGTTTAAATCTGGCTCTACCATCCATTAGCTATGGAATCTTGGTCACATCACTCCACCTCTCTAAGTTTTGATTTTCTCATCTATAAGATGGCAATGACAATAATAGCAGTGCCCACTATACAAGAGAGGTATTATTTCCCCTTTTCAAGTAAGGAAATTGAGGCTCAGAGAGGTTAAGTAACTTGCCCAAAATCATGCAGCTTAACATGGAGCCAGATTATGAACCCATTTCTAACTCCAACCCCCATACTCAGAATCACTCCACTGTGCTATACTATATTCCATTTCCTTCCTCCCCTCAAATTTAAAAAAACCAAAAAAACCCCCAAAAACCCATCCCTAAACAAAAGAAAAACAACTTAATGCCTCAAAACAATAACAGAAGTATAAAATAAACAGGAATAGCCATATAAATATGTAAATAGTTTCCTTTGTTCCTCACAATTCATTAATCTGGTCTGTACTTTATGGAACTTTCCTCTTGCACTAAAATTAGAAAATCTGTAGCATTTCTGGAGGAATACTTTGGAGAAAAGCCACATATGTAAGGATGTCCAAGCTGACGGTTACAAGAATTAAGCATACCTGGAGTAAGTTCTCCTCTTCGCACAAATGCTTATCCACCTTCTTGTAGAGGTTATCTAAACCTTTTTTCACTTCCTTTCCAGGATACTCTTTAATAACTTTACGAAGTTCTTGTTTGTTAAATGCAAGTTGATAGCTTACTTCTTCCTCTCTTATACCCTGTGCTACACGAGCTTCAACGCCTTCAAAGAAATGCTTCAAGGAAATGAAAAGAAACAATGGCTAAGAACTGCTTGTATTACCACTTAAACTTTTAAAAATCTGATTATAAAATAGTATATATATTGACCGTGTTAAAACCAGACAGTGTGTAAAAGTATAAAGGATAAAATAACAATCACCTATTACCACACCACTCAGACAGCCCGTTAACATTTTAGATTTCCTTCCACTCTTCTGATGTGTGAGTACATAAATAAGATTATAATTCTGTTTGTTGTATTTTCCATTTAATATTCTATGTTTTTCCTAAGTATAAATTTTAAGGGCTGCATAATATTCCATCCAATAGCTGAACCATAATTTATTTATTCGTTCCTCCAGTATTGGATATTTAATATTTTTCACTTTTTTTCAGAGTTGGCAAAATTTACTCAGATTTTTACAAAAACCTATTATAAATACAGTTGATAGAAATATCTTTGGTACATAAGTATTTACACACATTACTGACTACTTTCTAGCATAAATTTCTAGGACTGTAATTCCTTAGTTGAGAAGTATAATTTTAAGTATTCTGAAGATTCTTCATATACACAAATTGCTTCCCAGAAAAACTTCAATTTGCATCTCTATCAACACTATATGAGACTGCTACCTTACCATACTGTCATTAGCATTACTGCAATTTAAAAAAAATCACTGCCATTTTGATGAGTGAAAAAGGTTTATTTGTTGTTTTAGTTCTTTGGCTATAAATGAAGTTAACCTGCTTTCACACGTTTACTAGTGTATTCAGGACCCTGGCCCATTTATACGTTGGGATCTTAGAGCTTTTCTTATTGATTTAAAAAATATCTTTTATATTAAACATATTGACTTTGTTGTATTGTTATAAATATTCTTCTCAGGTTGTCTTTTAAGTATCTTTGCTTTTTTAATATGTAGTTTTATTGACCGGCTGCCTTTTTATTTGAGCACTATACGATATGATTTAATAGTGACAAGTCAAATCCCCTCACATTATTTTTCTCTAAAATTTTCTTAGCAATTATTATTTGTTTATTCTTCATTAAATTATTATTTTTTTGATAATTTTTTGGTAAGTGTATTCCTGGTGCTTTTAAAATTTTGTTTCTACATAAGCTTTTAATTGGTTATTGCTGACATATGGGAAATAAATTTTTTTTTTTTTAAAGATTTTATTTATTTATTGTTTCCCCCCAAAGCCCCAGTAGATAGTTGTATGTCATAGCTGCACATCCTTTCTAGTTGTTGTATGTGGGACGCAGCCTCAGCATGGCCGGAGAGGCGGTACGTCAGTGCGCGCCCGGGATCCGAACCCGGGCCGCCAGCAGCGGAGCGTGCGCACTTAACTGCTAAGCCACGGGGCCAGCCCTGTTTTTTGCTATATTTATTTTGAATCCTGCCACTTCATCAGAAAGACAGAATTACCAATAATTTCAACATATCATGTACAGGTAGTTATAATCTTGACTCCCCTTTCCACATCTCTTATTTATGTTTCTGGTCTTACTGCACTGGCTAGAGCTTCTAGAACAATGTTAAGTAATAAAGGATCTAGTAACATTTCTGCTTTAAATCTGATTTTGAAGGGAATGCCTCTGATGCTGCAGTGAAGTATCATGGAGGCTTCAGGTCTGAGACAGACCCTTTACCCTACAGGAGTATCTGTCTGTTCTTCCGTTTTATAAGGAATCGGTTCCGTATTTGATTAAACATCTTTATGTATTTCTTTGAATTGTTGACAACAGATACGTATTTTTTATTTGAATCTAATTTCAAGTTAAAACTTATAAACGATGACTAATCACATTGTGGACAAAGTTAAAAGGGTCCCATTTAAGCTTCCACTATGTTGCGAAGTTCTCTAAAACCATCATTTCTTAATTTTAATTATCAGACTTGCTCTGAGGAATGACTCAAGTCAGGAAAGAAAGGGAAAGGAAAAGGCAAGGAACAAAATGTTTGGTTTTCCTTTTATCTTGATAAAGTTTTTGAAATCTTCATCTGAACTAGGGATAAAGGCTGGCCATTTATGAAGTAAGAAATGAGAGTCTGATATAATGGGAAAGCTTCATCTAGGTTTCATCCCCCAGCTTTACTACTTACAAGCTACCTTCAAGCAAGTTTATTTACTTTCAGTTTCTTCATTTGTAAAATGGGGATAATATTATCTTACCCCACATCATTGTTTATAAGAATTAAAAGAAATAATGCATACAGAGCATCTAGCAGCATCTTGGCACACTGGCAGCTTCAATAAATGAATCCCTCTGTCCTTATCCTCCTGCATCAATACATGAGCAAATTTAAGATAAATGTCTGTTGTGTTGAATGTTAAGCACATGAATACAGGTTCAAAACCAGGAAAAAAATACTGAATGCAAATATACTTACGTTTAGTTTTTCAAGAGGTTGCCCTAAAGAGTAAATGACATAAGACTGAAGGTGATCTGTGTATTTTTGTTTGGCTTCTTTTTTTTCAGCTTCTAGACATGAGATTTTCAAACGAGAAAGTGTTGCAAAAATATGGTGAAAGTTTTCCATCATAACTACATCCCTGGGGGTCTTCTGGCTTTCGTTTGCTACTTTCTCCACTGAAATCAAAAGAAAAAAAATATAATATCCTGATATGAGTATGACCATATTTAGCTATAAAAATATTTACATGATGGATATTTTTCATTTGTAAGTTTAAGAAGCAAGCATATTTCTGGACTTAATAAAATATATTGTATTAAAGAGTCTTCACATCCACCTAAACCTAAGAAAAAAATCATTCTAAAACAGTCCCACGCATATTTGGCAACTTAGTATATAACAAAGGTGGCTTTTCAAATCAGCGTGAAAATGAATTATTCAAAATGTGTTATGACAACCAGCTGGTCCTTATGAATACACTAAATCTGGATTCTTATTTTACATCTTTCAGCCAAACAAATTTTAAATTGCTCAATTACTTAAAATGTAAAAAGCAAATAAACGAATGTAATCATATGTATTAAAGAAAACAAAGCTAATTAAAAAAAATAATTCTGTGATGGTGTGACCTTTCTAGGAACGGCCCAAAACTCAGAAGACATAAAGGGAAAGATGAATAAATTGGACATAAAATTTGAAAGCTCTTGGATGGTAAAAAAAACACCATAAACAAAATCAATTTATAGCCTATTAGCTTGATGAAGAATAAAAAGATTAATAATATCTAGTAACATTCAGCATTGGTACAGATGTGATGGAAACTTTCACCAACTGCTCATAGCACTAAACTGGTACAACCTTTCTGCATGGCAATTTGGCAAAAGCTTTGAGATATATTCAAACCTTTTGATCCACTAATTCCATTTCTAGTAATTTACCCTAAGGAAATTATTGGAAAAGTATACAAAAATGTATGCATGCAGGAAACTGGAAACAAACTAAAGCCTATTAATAGGAGATTTGCTAAGTAAATAATGATACATGGAATACTATGCAATCATTAAAAGTGATTATGGTTATCAATATTAATTGACAAGGAAAGGCACTAGGATTATAGAGTCTAACAGGTTCCAAGAGTATGCAAAGTAAGATAAAAATTTTTATATTAAATTTTACGTACGCATGCACGGACACACACACAATATGCACATATATATGAGGGAGAGAGATATTGAAAAGTTTGGAAGGATAAAAATGAAATGTTATCTCTGCATGATGAGATCACAAATTATCTTTATTTTTTTCTTGATTTTCAAAATCTGTTTCTGATTTTTGGGGTTGCGTAACGAGCACATATTACTTTACAATCAGATGAAGCAAAGCTACTTTGAATTTTAAAAGAAATATCAGCCATACATTCAATCATGTAATTTACCTACCTTTCTCCTAGACTTGCCTCCACTGAAAATATATTATATGTAATTGGTGAGATGATTCTAACTTTCCATCAATTTTTTTAGCTTTAAAATTCCTGAATATGTGCAATCAGATAATTTATTTCCAGTTAAATGACATGTCCACATTATTTCTGGAACTTAATTGTGGAATTTGACACAGGAAGACAGTGAATCATAGTATTTTAGCATTAATCTACCTCAAGTAACAGATATGAAAACTGAGGCCTAAAGAAGTGAACTGATTTGCTTATGGTTACACAGACATTATTGCCTATCATCTCCAGAAGACTTCTGTTAGAATGCAAATGTAATCAGCAGGTCATTTTTTTGTGTGTTAAAAAAATTAATTCCAATTTTACATAGTTCTAAGGCCATATGAACCCTAAAATATAAGTGGTTCCTAATGCACATGAATGGGCTTTATGTACTGTCTGTTTTTCAAATTCAAGAAATCTTTAATTTCATAAAACTTAAAAAAGACTATAGAATATGGAAAATAATGAACATATCTGTTCCCCAACTTCCGAGTTATGAGAAATAATGAAAACAACCAACCAAAAAATTCTTTAGAACGTAACAAAAGCGTACCATTAACAAACACTCCTCTGATAAGTTTAGTATATGCTTTATCTAGATCTCCACGACGCTCAGCATTTTTAAAGATTGATTCTGCAAGTCCAGCAAATTCTTCAAATTCAGCAACAAATGGAAGAATTCCTACTTTACTCTTCTTTGAGATCTTTACTTCTTCCATTTGCCTTATTTGGTTACTCTAAAGGTGGCAGAAAGCAAGGGAGAGAAATAGCCAAGCAACTTTAGAAATAACATATAATTATAACCAACTGTATATATCATAGAGGTAGGATATACTTTAGCACCTTGAACATTTTGGATGCTTACTAATTAAACAGTAATATAATAGAGATAACTAAGAAAAACTATTTCTATAGAATAAAAAGTACATATATTTTATTTAAGAAAATGAAGTCAAGGAAAAAAATCCAAATTATTTAAAACAAGAAGCAATCAAGGCTTGTGAACCTCAAGTCTTTGTTCAAAGCAAAAATAACCAACAAACATTTCTATCATTTATGAAAGATAAGTGTAAAGTGATTGCCCATTTTGGGGCAGAACAAGTATCAGAGCACACACAGGATCTCTCGAGGTTACTTCTTGTTGGTGGCCATATAGCCAAGTTTGAGAACCACAGCCATTTCCAATTCTCATCAGCTTAAAATTTCTGTTTGGATAGACGAGTTCTGTATTTTTTGGGTGTGAGAACACAGAGGAAGAATAGGCATTTCTACTATAGATTTGCATTATATAGTTTTTCATCTATCTATTAGTTACTTATTCTAAATTAGTTCAGCAAAGTGCTTGTCTTTGAGGGTGACAAAGTGCAAAAGGGATATTTCATATAGACAGAATCCAGACATCTGGGTTCAAAAAAATCCATGGATTCAATTATGGTTCTTTGTACTTCTCAGAGGATCCAGACCTATTCACAGTAAGAATTACACTGCCAAATACTGCTGGATCATTTTCAACTTCTACCTAAAATTTCATTGTGTTGAGATTTTGGAGGTATAACTTGAAAACCGTGTAACATGTGGATTAAAAAAGTAATTATTTCCAGGCTGCAGGCACTAGTATAAGAAAGCCCTGTAAGTGCTGTCAACCAAACTATATTGTCTTTACCACTATTCCACTTCATCAGTATTGATAACTCTGAGGAGTAAAATTGGATGCAGTAGAGAGGGTAGTGTAAGATTGCAGGTGCTGGAACCAGATGTGTCTGGGTATTAATACCAACTCCATCCCTTGTTACCTGTTGACCTGGGGAAAGTAACATAACCTCTTGGAGCATCTACCTTATGTAGCGGGGAGGAGGTTGTGAGGGTTAGATGAGATAATGTGTGCAAATTGCTTATATCGGTCAGTGCCTGGGGCATAGTAAGTGCTTATTTATGAATGCTGGTCTATTGTTATTAAGCTACATGAAGATTTTTGTTCTTTGTGGCATTTTAAATGCACAGGATACAACTATAGCCCAAAAATACTTGAATATTAATAGGAAATGTGCTAAATGGCAGTTGTCTTCTCTAGCTTTGTAACTGGCAGGGTAGAAACAGTGTACTCATTTAAGAAAAGAGCCATCAATGAACTAAATCTCACAAAAATACAATTTCTCTCAAGCTAAAGGTATACATTATTTCCAGCTGATTGCCTGATCATATTGCCATCACCAGAAGGACATGGAGGTCACTCAGTGTTTAAGACTACGACTTTGATGCTAGCCACACATCACTCTATTATTTGTCTGTCCTTTGTCCACAGCACTTTGACCAAATCACATCATTCTCTAAGGTTTACGAAAGCAAATCCGTATCACCATAGTGTGAGGAATCCTGAAAAGCAAACTAAACACAGTTAAGAAATGTATTGGTTCACAAAGCCCAGCTTGGTAGTACTCGAGGTGTCAGTTATTTGCTAATTTCAGCTCTAGTTCAAGCTAGGCCAGTTTTGTTAGCCCTGTTCTTTGAACAACACTTGAACAACACAACTATTTTGGGCTTGGCCACATCAGATGAAACAGCCAAACTCAGGTGCAATCTGTTCCATTTTCTGCAGCCATGACATTTACGCTTTTGGTTTGATACACACAGACCCATTCATTACCTTTTGAAAGTATACCCTGGGTCCTGATCTTGTCCCAAATACCAAAACATGTAACACTTACTGAGCACACACCATCTACCAGATACTGCGGGAAGACTTGAGTTAAAATAAGAGGCAGAGGGAAAGGACAGGCAGCAGAGGGAACTCTCCTTCCTTTGAGTGACAAAAGGTAGATCCTTTAGGAATACATTCAATTCAGAAGAAAATATGAGTTTATACCTCTGTCTAGGCTAATTTTACTTCGTTTCTCCACTGCCCTGTCTTGAGAGTAACACGAACATTCTTTAATAAACTATTGTAAATTACTACTACTACTACCATCACCACCACCACCACCACCATCACGAGTTATCAGTTAGTAAGCTCTTATTCTGTGCCAGGCAAGGTGCTAAGCTCTTCATTTGAACCCACGTCTACATCTACCTGACACGACATCCTATGCTTTCAACTATTACGTTCTACTAGGTTGAGAGTTATTATCTAAAGTGATATTTTACTGACAAAAAGCAACAAAGCCTCATATTCTGGAAATGTATAGTGTCCTCACGATTTACTGTTCCAGCTATGTCACATGGGACTCCTTCTCTTAGCCTTCGGTATCTCTTCTCTTTCTTTTAGGCTATCAGCTTACAATCAGACCTTCCAGGTTTACCATCACCTCTGGAAAAGGTGGAGGAGGGAAGACGATAAGCCTTAAATGGTCAAATATCCTAGTATTTCAAATACCAAGCGAAATCATTTGGTAGGGAAGGAGGATTAACAAGCCTATTGAGGTGACATTTAAGTTTCTACAGTGGACACAGATTGCTTTTATACTTTCAAAAACTCAATAAATATTATTTTTCAAAAGTATGAAAAATGATATGGATTATAATTGCCCTTAATATTTTTATCTCTCATTATTCTATGGATATCCAAGAGCTGAACATAACTTAGAGGTTACATGGTAGAAATATTCAAATGATACATATCTACTTCTACATACTAAATACATTAATAAAATTTTTTTTTTAGAACCTGGCCCAGCCCAATTCATACCTACAAGCTTCTAAAACCTAGGAGACAAAAATAAAGTTGTTCATGATTTTTTTTCCTATTAGAAGGAGGAAAATGATGATTGCTGGAAGTTATTATCAGAATAATTTATTCTTAAAATAAAGCAATAGGATTATTAATTAAACCTACTAAACCAATTAAATAAACTACATAAATAATTTAAGCAATCAATTAAAATAATCTTATTACTAAAATAAGATTAATTAAAACAATCTTAATTTTCTTATTAGAATATATTAAAAGAACAACAATAATAAATCCAAGTGATAGGGCCGGCCCCGTGGCTTAGCGGTTAAGCGCACGCACTCCGCTACTGGTGGCCTGGGTTTGGATCCCGGGCGTCCACCGATGCACCGCTTCTCCCACCATGCTGAGGCCGCGTCCCACATACAGCAACTAGAAGGATATGCAACTATGACATACAACTGTCTACTGGGGCTTTGGGGAAAAAAAAGGAGGAGGATTGGCAACAGATGTTAGCTCAGAGCCGCTCTTCCTCAGTAAAAAGAGAGGGATTAGCATGGATGTTAGCTCAGGGCTGATCTTCCTCACAAAAATAAATAAATAAATAAATAAATAAATAAATAAAAAATCCAAGTGATAGTTTCAATTGTTTCATTAACTCTCTAGTCACTAATCAGTCAACTGAGATTTCAGTTACCTAGTGGGTCTCTCAAACAGCTGCTGCCTCTATGCCACCTACTCCAGAACTTGTCAAGATCCACAGTGTAGAAGGGAAACTAGGTGGCATAGTACTACTCAAATAACTCTGTTCATATAAATTGCAGCCAACACCCTGCTTCAAGGCTTTGGGGGATGTGAACAGTAAAAGCTAGAAATCTCCTGATTTAAATACATTTACCTATTTTTTGCAATGATTAGAATTCTAAGTTATTTTTTTAAAAAAAACTTACAATGCATTTGTCAAAGTTCCTTTTGATAGTCACCAAAACATTTCCCAATGTAGTACTTAGAAAAGAAGCAGGGTCCACATTTTGCGCAGTCCACACATGATGACTCATCTTGACTAGCATGTAAAGGGAGTTAAAGCTATCAATTTTGTCTCCTAAAGCAATGAGATTGTTCAGTTCTGGCTCAATGCAGCGAAATATTTTAATCATCATTTGGCGGATCATATCTTTCCTGTTCAGAAAACACAAAATACAGAAAGTTATTACAAGCTTCAGGTGTATTCCTCTTTAACTTTAATCCACCGAATATATACAAAATGACTAAAATTTGATATTCCAATTAAAAACGTCCAAATATAATGAACAAATTATTCTACAGGACTTTCCAACATAAAAATATTTTTTGAAGTTGTTTTATCACTCAAAATAACTTAATGTCATTTACAAAGCTGGGTTCTGAAACATGCTTTCTGATTTCTGAGAAATACACTGCAATTCAAATGCTGCTTCTGACCAGCGAACATTAAAACTGACTGCATTTTTTGAGATTACTAGAGCAAAAAAGGGCCGAAAAGCCATACAACAGGACCAATTTTAATTCAGTGAGATGCTTGACAAGACACTGGGTGCACACGTCAGTGCTCTGGGTGCCGTCAGCCTACTGAGAGTCATCTGGACTCCTCATCGAGCAGCACTCCTCTTTGCTCAATTTAAAGTTTATTTTTTTCCAAAATAAACAATAGATAGTAACAAACACATACTCAGACGAAATAGGCAGTGGTGCGCCAGAATTATGTTGCCGTGATAACATTCCTCCATCTAGGTCCTCTGCTTCAGTCTGCAAAAGTTATTCAGGTACTTTACATAATAAAAGACCAACAATTTGACTAGTTTATATAGCAAAAGCCTGCTCAGTCTTAAAATTCCTAGGAGAGAATACATTATGAAAAATAATGATTTTTAAAGGCAGTATTACTGATAAATTTATATAATTTAGTATGCTGTTTAAGAATGTTCATGAAATGCTTTGTTCTTAGATTCTGAGAATTATTGTGGGGCGAGAAGTTGCGTTTGTGCACATGAGGGGAAAGTGGGGACAGAGAGGCTACAGGAGGCTCAGAGGAGGTGTGGGAATGGGAGGTAGCTCAACAAAAAACAGAAAACATTTAGCAACAACTTTCAAGAGAGAATTTTAAAAATTTAAGAAATCTCACCATTCATTCTAACAAAACTGGCGTTTAGGGGCCAGCCCCATGGCTTAGCGGTTAAGTGTGTGCGCTCCGCTGCTGGCGGCCGGGTTCAGATCCCGGGCACCTACCGATGCATCGCTTGTCCAGCCATGCCATGCCGAGGCTGCGTCCCACCTACAGCAACTAGCAGGATGTGCAACTATGACATACAACTATCTACTGGGGCTTTGGGGATAAAAATGAGGAGGATTGGCAATAGATGTCAGCTCAGGGCCGGTCTTCCTCAGCAAAAAAGGAGGATTGGCATGGATATTAGCTCAGGGCTGATCTTCCACACCAAAAACAAAACAAAACAAAACAAAACTGGTGTTTTAAAAAATGCTATCAAAAATTCTTACAGAAGCTAACAAGTAAGCAAATTTACTACCATCACCATCTACAACAAATCCCTAACCACTTGAAATAAAAATTAATTTCTCATTCATTTTATGACTGCTTTTTATATGCTGGTTCTCTTTTTTAAGACGACCTTAATTTAAAAATTACTCTATTTGTATTGTGCTTTCAAGTTCTTCAAAAGATTCTAGCAAATCTCTCATTTTATTGCCTTACATTTATGCCACCCATTGTACAAATGAGGAAAACCAGAGATTAAATATTTGGTTTAGGGGCCGGCCAGGGGTGGTGTAGTGGTTAAGTTTGCGCACTCCACTTTGGTGGCTCAGGGTTTGCTGGTTAAGATCTCTGGTGTGGACCTACACATTGCTTGTCAAACCATGCTGTAGCGGTGTCTCACATACAAAGTAGAGGAAGATTGGCCTGGCTGCTAGCTCAGGGACAATCTTCCTCAAGCAAAAAGAGGAGGATTGGCAACAGATGTTAGCTCAGGGCCAATCTTCCTTACCAAAAAAAAAAAAAAAAATTGGTTTAAGGTCTCATAGTTAGCACCAAAGTCATAAGAAAGATTCAGATTTGAGGTCTTGTCATTTCTTTCTTTCTTTTTTCTTTTTGCTAGACCATGGTATATATACTCAAACATTTTTTTAATTATATTTTTTCTTGATTACTACTAAAATGCTAAAATTGCTATTCAAATAATGTTTTTTGCAAAGTAAATTCAGACATTTTTCCCCTTCACTAATTTAGAGAATGTTCAGGCCTAAGACAGTCTGGAATATTAAATTAGATGCCGAAACTCTATCACTGTCTTTATTATCTCGTGGTATGACAAAAATTATTTTAAAAATCCTTACATTATAATTTCTTTTTTTTTTTCTGTTCTGGATATTGAAATTGTGACAACATATTAATTAGGCTAATTATGCTACAGATCATAAATACTAGTGAACAGATAAATGTGAGCCATACCATACTTCCAGGCATACTTTGATGCTGCTGTAGCTTGAAAAATTTACTTATGAAGTCCTGTTCTGCCAGACACAGGGGTTCCAGTTCACTTAGCACCTGTTCAAAGATCTGAAGAAAACCAAAATGATCCTATATCGAAAGAACTGCACCAAATGCTTAAAATAACATTCTGCATTTAATTCACTTTTCTGCAGGGACCAAACATGCTTTACCTATAATCTCAATAGAAATCCCAAAAACAAACTCTTCCAAGAATGACAGGACAATGCAGTACTGTCAAAGCTTAACAGGGCCAGAATATACCTAAAACTCACAACAATTATTCACTTGAAATCTGAAAAGAGGAAGACAGAGATGAACTTCTTAAACTTATTTAATGCATTGCCGAGAACAGTGTAGCTTCATAAAACCTATTATTTCCTCTTTACTCTACAGTTGCTCAAAGAACTTAGATTTAAGATGTGAGCATTTTATGATTTATAACAAATTTTAATAAAGCTGTTATATCATTTAATTGATAATTTACATTTTAGTTGCCATTTGACTAGTATTTTTCAGATTCAGAATTGGAAAGTAAGATATGGTTAATTAAGAGAGCCAACGGAGCCCAAATCTTTGAACATACTTAAAGCAATAACAAACTGCTGTTAGAAAACTAATATTAATGTTTAAGAAGTACTTGTTATTTTATTGTACCTTATCAAATTTGGTTCTGTCGGCAACATCAAGATCAGAGGCAGACATGTTTCCCATATCCAACAAGGAAGATGACTGGGATCTGCGATTCCCTGAACTCTGAACACTGAGTTTATTTAGACTAGAGGTAGATCCAGTTAATTTCCCAGAACTTCCATGAAGACCTAAGAAATAATAAAACTTTGAAAGTTGCGACCTTCATGAAGAAAAGATCCATAGCATAAATTAGGGCTATCTTCCACTGCCTTGGTCTTCCAGGGCTTACATTAGTTAGTACACAAAGCCACCACATGGGATGGTTGTAGAGTGTCCTTCTCTTTCATTACATTTGTGTTCTATTCCCGAGCACACTGTAAAGAGTAGTGAAATTATGCAGATCCACAGAATAGAACTGAAAGGGATCTTAAAGATCACATAATCTATGCCCTGCCCGGTCTCACCATAAAGATAAAGTTGCCTGATAACATCTCTAGACTAAAGTAGATGAGGATTTCTTTCCCATTCAAAAGACATAAACACGGATGAAGGTCACTGATCCCCTAGTGTACAAGCTAATCCGACTTTGTTATATTTCTGAATAAAACTGAAGAAAAATATCCCAATATTACTCGCCTCCACAGTAAATCAACATATTAAGTTGAACCATATGAAACTGCTAATACTTGATCATTCTTGCTCTACAAAAAAAGTGAATTACATACAATTCAACTTACTACACTCCTGAACCCAGAAACTCTGCTTTTACAGTAAATGAACTGATTAACTACAGTTTTTAAAAAACTAAACAAAATGAAGAGAAAAAAACAACCCTGAAAACTTGTTATATTTAAAATACAAGTAAAATATAATACATACATCATTAACTATATTAACACAGGACATCTGTGTTTAGGTACAAACATAGGTATCCATCATAGCTGTGAGGCAAAATGAGAACAATATAGCTGGACAATATCCTATGTACATCAAGGAATTACAGGATTCCATTTTTACAAGAAAATGTGACATTTTTATTCAGAATTAAATATAAACAATAAATAAAACCTTTTTTTATTCTTCTTGAATATTTCTCAGTTAACCTGTATTATTTGCTGATAGTCAGAAGGGACAAATAAAGAAATAATAAGGACAATTAAAGACAAACTTTGGTTTCATTATGCAAAATCTGATCATATCTATAAGAGTTTTTATAGTTTCTTAACTCAGCCTGAAAACAGAAGTATAATGGTTAAGTCTTTTCACAAATTTCTGACTACCCACTATATATTTTTAACGATATATATTTCTTGAATGTAGACATACCACTACCATCATGTTGGTTTTCCTTCACCAATACCTGGCAACTCAGAGCAATCAATATTTTTCGTGTAACTTTTTTCAAGACAAATAACTTTTTTCTGGACAGTAAACGAACATGCATTGAGAATACCCACTAATACACTAAGCATACTCACTCTCTGTTTCCTGTTTGACAGCACTTTCTTTTCGAGGCAGTGTAGCTGTGATGGATTAGGTTGCAAGCATCAAAGACAAAGACAAGTTAATAAACTGCAATTTGCACAAACCATGCACAAGAGGAAGTTAAAGCTCTAGTTTAAAAGACACATGCAAAGAACCATGAGCATCAAGTAACGAGAGATGCAACATATGTTTAGTTGGTCAGCTACTGTTTGAAAAATTATATGAGAGAAGAAACTTTACTAGACTTTTAATGTATTGTTTTTATTCAAATATTCAGGTAAAAATATCTATATTTGTAAATTCCCCCACCCCCACCTTTTAAATGATTTTCTTTTAAGTTTATGAAGCTGATATACTTAAATTTAAAAGACTATATTTTCAAGTTTGGGTTTTGAAGAAAATATAGTTCAAGTAAATAATTTAAAACAGTGGAAATGTATTAGAATAAAGTTGTAGATTTAGACATTAAATGCATCAACAATCTCATATTCCCTGGAAGTTCCTGAAAGGCATCTCCACTGTACTAAATAATTTTATACTACTTCTGATAAAAAAAATTATATGAGCGGGGCTTTAAAACCATTTCAAAAGATCAAGCTCAACTACTTAGTAACTGACTTTGTGAACACCTAGAATGAAAGGTATATATCAAAATACTCATCAGGAGATGGGTGGATGGAAGGGTAAAGCTGAGGGAACAGGTTTAATACCGGAATTTGAGCTACTTTAGGGTTTCTAAAACTTCACTCTATATAATATTTATTAGATCAGTTGTTGAGATTATCTTGTGAAACATTCTAACTCAAATTAGAAGATGAAAGGCAAAGAAAGAAATTATAGAATGAAATAGAAAATTAAAGAATATAAACTATAACCTAGACATGTTTTAAAAACAGAGAACAATGTGTCAACTCTCACTATCCTGCCAAACCTCAAGGCAAAAGCCCAGGTATAAGCTACTAACTTACCACATCAGCGACATGTGTATCTTCCCAGCCTGGGCTACCTGAAGCTCAAGGGCAAATGAAACAATAAGGCTGGATACCAAAGTGGCAAGCAGGGATCTCGCTGGAGCTACTAGCTGGCCTGTCTGAACAGTACCTTCTGGGGGCCTTCAGGTGTCGCTATACTAAGTTCACCAGTTTCAGAGCAACGCCTAATACTTCACATACAGTCAGGCATCACTTAACAACAGGGATATGTTCTGAGAAATGTGTCCTTAAATGCTTCCAATGCTTCCTTTCATTGTTGTGCGAACATAGAGTGTACTGAAGGGGAACAAAACGTGCCACCCCAAAATGTATCTCTTTAACATGAGGATTATTTTAGACTGATTATTTTTAAGAAACAAAAGACTCAAAGTTTTTCTTATCTCCCCCTTAACTGCCTAAAAGAATTCAGATAAATAAACTTGTCTCAGGAAGTGAGCTATCACCCCAGCATAACATGAACTAGGTGGGAGACAGGGAGGAACCTAGAAAAGCCTGTTTGTTGGGCTCCCCTCTGTGGTCTTCTGTTTCTGTGTGGCCAAACACTTCTTTTCCAAACATTTGATTCTTTTCACCTACCTGTGAACTGCTTTCCTCCCCACTCAAGTCCCTGACTCTCCCCACCCCCAACATCCTCTTTTTTCTTTAGCTGAGGATGGTATTTAAGGTGAGGGCTTCAGCCATTTTGGTGAGTTACTCGGTTTTCCTGGGTTTCTCCCATGTATACATATTATTAAACTTTTGTTTGTTTTTCTCCTGTCAATCTGTCTCATGTTAATCTAATTCTTAGACCAGCCAGAAGAAGCTAGAAGGGAGAGGAAAATTTCTTCCTCCCCTACAGTACTTACACAAACCTAGATGGTACAGCCTATCACACACCTAGGCTCTATGGTACTAATCTTATGGGACCACCTTGTATATGCCATCTGTCTTTGACCAAAACATCGTTATGCAGCACATGAGTGTACTTTTCTTATTTTTGTAGCCAATAAAGAATACATAGTTACTAGTAGTGCCTATTAATTATAACGGGGCTCATAAAAAGTCTATATTATTTATCAGCAACAAGCAACAATATTTAGGTAAACTTTTAAATATCTTTAAATAATCTCCACTAGACTATAAACTTCATGAGGGTAGAGTCTTTGCTCATTGCTGCATTCTCAGTACTTAGCAGTGCTTATTATATAAGAGATAATTAATATTTATTGAATGAATCTTCCAGCCAGCACTGAATTCAGTCTTGTATTCAAGACTCCCTCTGCAATCAACAAGATTTCTTAGTTAGGTGCAGAAACAGAATAAAAAAATAATACCATTTTTAAGATTTTGGAATATTAAATACAAAGGAGGTAGTAATTATGTAAATGCCTATGTTAACAAACTAAAATAATATATGTGTGTGTTATCTTAGCTGTAGAAAGAAAAACTGGTAATTTAAAAAATAATTACTAAATTTCCTTTGCCTGCCATTTCATTGAGTGCATTTGCAAAATACAAATGGCGGGGGGGGGGGGGGGGGCGGACCACCAAAATATCAATCTTGGGGGGAAAATTCCACACCTCTGAGGATATCAAAGTAAACTTACTAATCAAAAAAGGCAATGACCTACATAAAGACCTTATCACAAAGAAAAGATACTTTACTGGCATTTTAACATTACTTTGATTTATTTGAACTAAGTAGATGTTAAAGACTTGAGTCAATAGTGGTTCAGAAAGAGAGTATTCTCCTGAATCTCTATGACTATATTGACTATACATTTTCCTTTTGTAAAATATGTTCAATCTGACTTTCTATTCTCGTTAGCATCTATGACTCAGCATTTTCAGAGCAAGTAAAAAACAAAACAAATTTAAATTTTATTTATAATTACTTAATTTTGATTCATTGAAAATTTATCTTCCCCAAATTTCAGGTTTCTATTTTAATTATAATTACTATTAAAAATTGACTTAAACATAATCTGAATCATTGAAAAGATATCTTTTAAAGAATTTACATTTGATCTTATTTAGAACTTAAGTCATTTGTATTTAACTTGAAATTTATTTCTAAATGCTGACTAACAAGTTAGATCTTCAAAGATGAACCAAATCATTTTTATCCTCTGAATTCTGTTTTTCAGTTTTTCTCCTCTTGTAGCTGATGATATCAACATAAACTAATTTTCTGGTGCCATCGGCTGTCACAAATTACTCTCCTATTCCTTAATTATTTAATAGATACATAGAAGAGATGTAATTTTAACATTGTTTTAAAACCATCAAAGTGCCTTCTAAACTTATGTTAATTTCAGAATTTTTTAACAAGATAATTTAAGAATTTCTCAAGGGGTAAGAAAAGAAACAACTTAGCTTTCAGGTTAATGCAGTGATACCATTAAGATACTATTGTACTTGATTTAAATTATATTTTTATGTCATTTATCTCAATGTGAATCTTAGGCTTGATAAACTATTTGATACTGGGATTAATGACCTCCTGAGGAGATATTTTTAGAAAGGTTTCCCTTTTACCTCCAATTTTCATATACTGTAGAAGAGTTCTCTCAAAATAAAATGGTTCACTCACAAGTGGTGACAAATATACTAAATGAAAACATTAAACATGTAACTGCATTAATAATATGCTGTTTACTAAAAAAAAAAAGCATAACATATCCACAGTGAAACATTAACAAGGATATAAACACACTGCTGTTTAAGAACAATTAACCTTTAGGATGAGTTAGCATTTCTGTTTCCAAAAGCCTATTGTCCCAAGATTCTTCTCAGTATCTTTACCTAAGTATAACATATTTGCACACAGATTCAAACCATTTCAAAACTCTGGACTAGTATAATCAATATATTAGTGTTGTATTAAAAAAAACAAACCAGTGAATTACAAAATAATTACCTACTAAAGACAGTCTTCTTTGTCCTAAAGAAAAGAATGGAAAGATGTGCTATCAATTTCAATCCTGTTTCCTGATTACCGAAGTTGCTTAGGGCATAGGCTCCTTTCAACAAGCAAATGCTAAACTCATTATTCTAAAGGGGAGCTATGCAGACACACTGAGGAGTACACATTGTAGCCATTTAAGGCCAGGTTTTTGAGTCGAATAGGCACAGAACTCCATCCAAAAGGAACTCCAGAGATGGGTACATGCAAGAGCGGAATGTGGCCTCAGCAAATCACCTTCCTCGCAACTTGATACTTTCACTGGTTATCCTTTAAGATCATGTCTTTGTCCATTTAATATCTTTAGAAGCAACAAAAAATAACACGCCTCAAAAATATCTCTTTGGAAAAATAAGGTATAATCACAAGAGAAATTTTGGTGACATTTTTATAGCCCCTTGGCAGGGGAGAAAATACTTATAAGCTTTCTTTTTGACTCAAAATAGCCAGTGAGAAGTAAGAAGCCAGGAATCTCTTTCATTTCCCTGTGGAGAGCAATGACGTCAGAGATCAGTGACTTGCCCCCAAGTGTTATACAAGGTCTTTTAGGACGTCAGAAGCTGAACTCGCAACATGTGTCTCAGTCTAATACTTTGTCTACCAGACTGCACTTCATCTTCTGGCCAAGTGCTTTTCCTATGAATATATACTTTTAATTGTAGCATGAATACACAATTGCTGTCAGATTCACATACTGCAGAATTTTAATTAGTAAAAAATATATTTACAGATATAAATATTTATTCTATGAAATACCTCTACATCAAACCAACGCATTAGACTTACTCTTTTATTAATTCTACTGTATCTTCTTCCACCTGGCTTAAAAGTCTTAGAATTATTTGTCATAAATAAAACCATTTTTAACAGAATATAAAACAATGAACTGAGTGCCTAAGCTTACCAAATTTCTTGCTTTCTTTAGTTGTGCCAGTCATCTTGATCTTTGCAACTTCAAAGAAATCTTTAATTTCTCTCTCATACAGTCGTGATAAATAATCCATGTAATTCTTAAAATAAAAGTAACACGTACTTCTTATTAATAAAACAAATATAGCAATTTCCATTTTTCAATCCCCCCAAATCCTTCGTGCTTGTTTTAAATTCTGTGGTCTAAAATTCTGATGCATTTCAGAGGCTATTTCCTGTCTTTAAAAAAAATTGAACAGGCATCATAACATTAACAATTTACAAAAATATGAAGTTGAACACAATCACATTTATATTTTCATTTTTACATATTACCTTTCACATAGTTTAAATATAGCTGCAATCATACTGTATAGGATATGTGAGTCAGAGCAATCATGTTTTCCAGTCTCACTGCAATGACTGCACAGCATTACGCTTTGTTGATGTACCACAATTTAGCAAACCAATCCCCTAACATAAGTGGTTTCAATGTTTTGCTATGATAGACAATGTTACAACAAGCTTTTCATGTCTAACGAATTGCTTCCTTGGAATAACTTCCTAAGGATGGAATTACAGGGCCAAAGAGTATGGGAATCTTTATAACTCTTCCTCCATAGTGCCATGTTACTTTAAAAACGATTATACCAACAGATAGTGTCAAGGGCAACGGAGTCCATTCAGTTTCACTGTACCCTGTCAGCCTTGGGGTATTACTCCCAAATAGATCATTTTCAATAAGAATTTAATTAGTAAGTCCTAGTTTTCATAATTACATAATTTATTTTTAAGAAACATTTGATTTATTCTAGCTCAAATGAAAACATCTATTGTCTAGCATACAAACTCATTTCTTCATCATATCTGCTTATCATCACATAAAAATATATTACACCCTCAGGAAGGATTCTTCAACAATGGGAGACCATATATTTTTCCAAGTCCTAAGTTAAATGCCATACACAGAGTTTGACTAAATTTAAATAAATCCACAGCAGAAAAATTATACCTAACTATTCTTTTAAATTTATCATGGCATCTAAGTTTCAACTTCCTTTATTATTTCAAATTAATATATCCAGTTTTAGAACAGGTTTACCTTGCTTTAAATATCAGGTATACCTTTTGAAAGGTATATATTATATAAATATTTGTATACTGATTAACAGTTCACCACTGATTTTCTTAGATATATTATAGATATATCCTTATAAAATAGTATTGGATGAAACACAATACGGATCTTAATTTTTTCAATTTGTAGGCCATGTACATTTCCCACAGTCTCTACAAAAGTTAGTCAAACGGGCAATTCTTTCCTGTGATCTTTGCATAACTTTAAAAGCAAATATAAATTAAAATATACCCTAAAATTAATTCCTATTTTATAGGGTTGTCTTACTTTTTCAATGTCTCATTTTTTCAGGTTAAAATTCTCATAAAAATATTGATCGCTGCAAATCAGTAAATGATTGACAAATGGGAAATTAGCTTCACACAATTTGTAAACTCTTCATCAGTGGTTTCTACTCAAATCACACAATATTAGAGACTGCATTCCAATACCCAGATTGTTTAAGTGCACATTACTACCCAAGCAATTTAAACAGTTTCAAAACAGCTATTTTGGTATCTAGAAAACAGTGACTTGAGCAGACTATTGAAAATCACCCCCTTTTCCAATGCAACTCAAATGACTGGATACTTTTTGCCCCACGTATTCAATAGAACTCAATGGTGGGCCTTAAAGGCCACAGACAGGTGTGACTATCAGTTCACTCATTTACCAAATTCTGAAAGATGTCTCTCACTGTGAATATGTATTCCTCTTAGCACCTTGTATACGGTACCTAATTTGAAATTTAACTATCATAAGTTTAAATATTATCTCAGGCAGTCTTCAACTTTATTTTGTGCTGACTATAGAGTCTTATGGAGACCTCTATGTTTTACTTTTTCTTTACAACAAAAACGGTAATTCCACAAATGTAGATCTGAGGTTGAGAGAAAATATCTGAATAATCTTCAAGACTGATTGTCAACCTCAGAAGGTTATTAGGAGAGGAAAGCTCATTTCCTACTCAAGCACTGATGGACCATCTCTAATATTAAGTGCCCTACGTGAATAACCCAGAGCCACAGAGAGGGGTCGCAGTTCTGGAGAGGACGGAATCTGGGCAGTTGAACTCACTGTATGACCAAGGCACCTCTATTTTCCATAGGCTCTACTTACGTATACCAAAAACCAGGGCTTTCCTTAGATTTGGTCATAAGAGGAGCTGGGGCAGGGCCTAGTATTTCTTACACCTAAAGGATTTGAAACAGGCTTTTCCTGTTCCTGCCCAAAAAGTGTGAGATGTGTACACCCAATCAAGTGCAAACAGCATCTGGATTTAATTATTATTTCTTGGTAAAGAAATACTGGGTTGTCTGTTTTCTTCCTTCTTCCTTTTTAATAAAATTCCTGCTTTTGACAACACTTCGGCAACCAAATTAGATTATGAGATAAAAAATACATAGTTGGTCAAAAGTTTAAACCACAGGATCAAGTAATATTCCTGGGAAATAAGTCAACTTCATTTTAAAAAGCTCATTAATACTGTCAATCAAAAGTATACTGTGAACAGAGAATGATTCCATAAATCATCGCTAGGTTGGCTATAGTCTTGTTTCTTCACTTTAAATCACATTCATGAACACTGCATTATATAGAAAGATAGGGCAATCATACTCACTGAGAACACAATTAGGCAAAAAGCTTATTGATTACTTTACTTATTTGAATATTCACTACGGGACAAAGCACTTGTTGGCACAAAACTCTTAAGGAGATATAATAATGTTTAATTATTCAAAATATTAATCCTCCTAAAACTTCAAAAGGCAAAGAATTCCAGTAATGTAAATATTTTTCCTTAAGATATCTCCAAATCAGAATTCTGTTGAATGAAAACAAAACAAAACAAAATATAACACAACAGTAGAGTTGCATAACACTTAAAAGACTAATTCTGAGGAATAAAAATAATCTTATCTAAAATAGCTAGCCAGATAAGATATACATCAACACCTCAGGATATATACATTCCTTTTGAAAAGCATTTAAAAAATTATAATTAAAAGTGTTACTTATTTTACCACAGTTTATGGCCTTTTTCCTAAGATCTTAGTTTAGAAGTAGAGGAGTTAGATTTTACTTTAAATGGGCACTTTGAAGAGAAAATACATGAAGACTGATATATAACAATGTCCTACTGCCAAATACGTTGATATCAATACATTGATAGAAAGGTGTAACCTGCCTTTTTCTTACCATCACACTTCTCATAAATTTCTACCTAACCCTCTGCCTTCTCATGAAGCATGAGCCTAAGATACTGGATAGGAGTTGTAACAATTATTTCAGTAAGTATAAATATAAAATGGGTTCATGTATACACATTAATTCCCTAACAGAGAATAATCCTCATTTATAAAACACTCTGAAAGAGAACAGCGCTTTCTGAATAAAACCAGGAAAAATTTATGCTGGCAAAACTAGCAAAAATAAGATGATTTTGCTATCTAGATTCTCTGTTAGGAAATCTTTGGTCACAAGCACATGGGTGGAGAGGAAAAGACTTTACATTAACAATTCCAATATCCTCACTCCACAGAGACAAAACATATCACTCTTTCCAATTCAAGAACATCTTTTAAGTCATATTGTCCACATAATTAAACTATTACTAATTATTAAAATAGTTTATGCATTACTTGGATTTTTTATTTTTAAACTCCAAATTCATGACAACTTATAAATAAAAGATTTTAAATATTTCTCAGGGTATTTCAGAATTTTAAGTCAACTACTCTTATATGTAATGTATAAATATAGCTATTTATATATTTGAGTTAGGTAACAATTCTTTAGTTCCCTAAGTGACAAGGTCAATTCCAGTACTAAAGGTCACAACATAAATGCCAGAAAAGTACTGTACCCATGGTTTCCTGCTACAATGACTATTTATTAAATCAAAGTCAGGTCATGTCATTCCACTGCTCAAAGCCCACCAACATCCCTTTCCCCCTTCTCTCTCACAGTAAAGCCAAATCCTCACAATGGTACATAGTTCCTTCCAGATCTGCCTGCCCCACCTCACCTGACCTCTCCCACCTGCCCTTCTAAGGTCCCGTCCCTGGCTCACTGTGCTCCAAGTGCACTCACCTCCTCACTGCTCCTCCAGCACACCAGGCATGCTCTTGCCTTGGGGCACTTGCACTGTGCCTGGAAAGCTTTCCCCTAGACACTCCCACTGCTCACCCATGCTTATTTTGAAAATCTGTGCTCAAACGTCACCTTCTCATAACGCCGTCTCTAACCGTCCTATTTGAAACTGTAACCTTCCCCGAGTCCTGGCATTCCCTGCTTTGTTTTCTCCAGAGCCCTCAACAGCACTTTCTAACATATAACTGACTTTTTGGTCAGTCTTTCTCCACCAGAATATCCACTCTGAGAAGGCAAGTTCTTGCTTGTTTCTTTCAGTGCTGTATCTCTAGTGCTTACAACAGCATTGGCACAAAATAGGTGCTCAATTCATTTTCTGAATGAATATGTGAATGAATGACTCTTATCTTCCCCAGTTGCTGATATTTAGTCCGTGGTATATACCACTGTTCTTCTAATCTAAAAGCCAAGCAGGTTTGGTATCATCCTATCCCTTCTGTCTTTGGAGTCTCTTTTTTGGGTTATATTCTTTATTCCTACCACTATCTTCCTGGTTCAAGATTTCATATCATCTGAATTATTACATTAGGTTCTTAATTAATTTCCCCCATCTAGTCTCTTCCTATGTGTGAGGAATGTGGTTACGTCTCACGGCTCATCTTTTTTAACATTATTTCTCACCTCTCCAGAATATGAAATTTCTGCTTCAGTCACCTGCCTCCTTGCTGTCCTGGGAAAAGGGCATATTTTCCCATCTTTGTCTGCACGTCTTGCTCCTCACCCCTGGTGAGGAGCTCTTCCTCTTATTTCTGGCTTATCTAATCCCACTCATTAGTTAAAACTCAATTCAAGTCCAATATCTTCCATGAAGTTTTCCCCCAATGGCTTCAAGACACAGATTTCCCTTCTCTAAACTGCCAGATATTTAAACTCATTTCCAGTTTAGCACTTAATTTTTTGCTGATTGTTTTAAATATAACTGTTCTTCACAGTCAGACTCAAAGCTCTTTAGAAGTATATGCTTATTTGTTAGGGCCCATGTGCCTGGAATAGTGGAATGCATGCTTAATAAAGAGGCACTTTGCACTTGCTTAACAGAACAGCTTATAAATTCTTAGGGGGCAAATGCCTCATTCACATCTTCATACTCCCTAGTTTCTATATCGCACATAAAGAAACTCGGGAAATAATTATAGCATTTAACCAAATTGAATGATGCTTCAGGCTGTAGTATGGCCTAATACTATGTTATACTGAAGTATGAAATTTAGCTCTTCTTTATCCAAGTAAATAAAACAAATGTTCCCCCAGGTTAATGAGCACTCAGAAATTCAATTATTTTCTGCTTTGCTAAGAATGTACTACAGTATTTAAAATGTCACTTGGGGAACTGAATACCTGACCTCTTGATTCTAAAAGATTATGCTCTATACTCAGTGAGTAACTGTTCAAGCCATACCTTTGTTAGTCCCTCATATTTTCCATAATCTGTACTCTTTAGCCACTCCATCAGCTTGGCATATCGGAGCAAGTCTCTATGAAATGGATGATGATTGGGTAAAGTCAGTTCAACGGAGTGCTGAGCAAGAGTTGAACTCTGATCGTGACCCTAGAGTGAGTAAATAAGTAAATAAATATCACTGACAGAATAAAGAAACATTGTTGTAACTGAAAATTCTAAACAATGACCAAATGTGGCCAAGCAAAACCAAGAGAAAATAGAAAAATAAAAACTGATTACTTACTTGTCTTCTTTTATCATCCTGTGTGTATCAACTGAACACCACCATGATAAAATAATCGTAAACATGCCAGAATGGCACTCTTATAAATCAACTACTCATTTCATCTTCTAAAGGAGTTGAAAATGAAGGTTTTAATCAAGTTTGTCTCTCCCATACCATATCATTACCATTTACTAAGCAAATAAACTTCATGATACAAACTGTATTAAGAAATACACCAATAGGGAAGTCATTCAAAACAAATTGTCTATATCTATGGTATTTTCATTCCAGTTTATAATTTTTAAAACAACAAATATAAATATATAGAATATAGAATTTTAGAGAACTAGGAAGGACTATAGATGACTATATCCTGGGCCTTCCAGGATAACCCTTAATAATAATGTAATTTTAATTTTCCCATTAATTTGTTAACTAAATAACTATACGATTTCATTTCCTAAACCTTGACAAGATTTTTGTATATATAAATTAATAAGTTATCAAACAGCCTTAAAGAGATGATGTATCTTGACTTTTGTTTTGAAAATATGGACCTGGTAGATCATCTGATCCAATAACTTTATTTTTGAGAAGAAATTGAAACTCAAAGGGATAAGTGATTTATTCGCTCAAGTCACACACAAGGAAAGCTAGAATTGGAACTTTAGTCATGTGAGTCTCACTTCTGTTTTCTTTTAAAAACAGGTCAAACAAAATCATTTTAACCAGACTCAAAAATTGCAACTGCCTACTAGTTACTGGTATCTAACAAAACAAAACAAAACCAAAAACAATAAAAATCTTCCCAGCCCTTTTTTTGAAACAATCTAGCTCTCCTTCTCTGTTATTTGGTCAATACTTGTCATGGAACTCCAGACATGGAAAGCCAGAGTTTAAGAGATGGAGAGTTGGAAGATTACAGGAGTAGACTCCCCTTGAAGACGTAAGTTCCCAAGAATAAGGAAGGGCAAAAAAAGATTCATTTGAAGTCATTCTGACTCAATGTGATTTGCCCAGATAGTCAGAAGTTATTGGTTAGCATTTTGTGAAAACTCTATTAAAATGACACAGACTATTGGAGTTTTGGGGTTGGTTAACTCATTTCCTGGTAAAGTTACCTAAAGCTAATTAAATGTATTTTACATTAGTTGATACACATTAGCTTATAAACATCTCAAATTTAAAGAATTTAAACTCTTGTAACTTAAAAGAGATTTTCTTTCTCCTATCTAATTTATATGCTTTACTATATATACAAAATAAGAATTTAGTGGTTATGGATTTTTTTAAACAATTTCTTTTAAATACGAAGTATTCAGAAAGAAAAATTCCTGGCCTAGGGATAAAGAGTTCTCTAGTAATTGAGAAGTACTTATAGAGTAAGAAAGATGGAAGCATAAGACACACCAAGAACTAAAACCATTACTATCTGAGTCCCTTCTTCATTAAAGTTTTCAAATCAGTCTATTGGAAAATTTTCTTCTTGTAAAACTACATCCCCAATTTAAAATGGGAAAAAAAAGAAAAATAAGAACGCATGATGTAGAATTATGTATAAAACTGTGTAGAACAATATACTTTTAAGATTAATCTTACTGGTATCTACTTAACTCGGGAAATTGGACCAAACAGCAGAAAAGTGTTAGAAAACTAGACTGACCAACTCAAAATAACAAGAATCAGAGGCCAACAGAAATTCACAACTATTGTAGACGTTATATACAAGGTATATTATATATATAGGTCCACAATCCCTTTCTGCAATTCTAAAATCCAAAAAGCTCTGAAATCTCGGTTTAAGTTTGGTGCCCAAACTATCTTGATGGCAAAACTTGACCTAAACTGACATGAGGCTGTTTACAGTGTTTAGAGTGACTCTTCATATATTTTGCTGTAGAAACACCGTGTGCTTGGTTACAGTGCCCTGCTCCAGACCCTGCTGGAGTGGTAAAATAATATACAGTATATGCACTGTATTACTTTTATAAAATCTGAAAAATTATAAAAATATAGCTGACTCCAAAAGTTTTGGATAAGGGAGCACCTGTGTGAATGTTCTCCTTTAGATGGCTGATTGAATATAAAACAATCACATCTCCCAAGGGAATCATCGAGGACTGAGAGCTACAGTGTTGAAAAATGGAACTATTCTCTATATTTGGAATGCCTGGGCACCTACATCTTTTCTGTGAAGTCAAGACTAACAATAAATATGAACAAAATTAATAATATTAAATAAAACACAGAGGTATTACCACTGGACTATACTCTATCTTATTATAGCTGCCAAAAGTCAATACAAACATTATAGAAATGTCTTTTGTCACATCAGAAGGATGATGGGATTCCATTAAATCGCAGGTATTAGATACCAATCAGAGATAGATATTATAGTCTTAGGTCTACTAATGTCTCCAAATTGTGTTTCTTAATTACTTACAATGATTAAAGAGGAAGAATATTTGACAAACTTATTATAGCTTATGAATGTTTTTCAAATATTCTGTCTTTATTAATAATGATGTTGGATATCTTTTCATTATCCAAACAATCTTCCTCATTAATTTTTCTCAGTGATTCAAAACTCAAAATTATTGTTTATGTTTTTCTACCACTGTTTACTCAGGCCATTACATGTTAAGGTATTTTATTTAATTTAGTGTCACGAAAGCTCTTCAATTAAAAACCTTCTAAAATCGAAGAATTAACTATTAACATCTGTAGAGGATTTTACAGTTTACAAAGCTTTCACACATATTATTATTCAAAGCTGTCTTTTGCAAACAGCAATTTAAGATCATCATCACCTGAAAACTTCACTTCTAACATGAAGAACATTATTTTCAAACCATTACTATTAAGACAAGAGTAAATGTTACTAGTGTTAACAAAAAGATTTAATTTTAGAGAAAATGGTTCCAAAATAATTATAGAAAATAGAAAACTTTAATATTTATTTT